TAGCCACGCCCCAAAATAGCGTTAGCAGAGAAACGAGAGCACCTTTCAGTAGCGGCCGAGCCGAGTCGAATTCTAGTAATTGTCAGCAAAAGGGCAGAGCACATTTTCATGTACGGTAGAATGGCTTTCCTCTTGTTCACTTTTCCGGCAAATTGCTTTGATGAAGTCGCATCCCAAGACACTCGCACGAATGAAGTGAAGAGATAGAGAAAAGGGGGGAGGGGGAAGAGGTAGGAGAGGAGGGCGGGAGAGGGGGGGGGGACGGACTAAGGGGATAGGAGGAAGGTGGATAAGAGGGGACAAGAGCAAAGTTTTGGTTTGGCAATCCAGTTTCTGGTGCTGTTTATTACGTGGAAACTGGTATATGAATGAATAAAAGATTAACTATACGTTATCTTCTTGTCCGTATACCCTAGCTTCTTGTCCGTATACCCTACCCCGTACTTTGCCTAAAATGCCCTCAAAATTATGAGGACCAAAAAGGGGATATGAGGGAGCGCTTGGCAAAATGAATAACCCCTTTTTCCAGACGTTTGGTCGCACCTGAACGTGTGGTTGCTTCTTTTTTCGGACGTGTGGTCGCTTCTTCGGACGTGCGGTCGCTTCTCCGGACGTGTGGTCGCTTCTCCGGATGTGTGGTCGTTTCTTCTCAGCGCTGTTCTGTTTTGCCGACTCCATGACCCAGTCTGAGCTATCCAATTACAAGATAAGCCTCAAGTTGGTGTTGGCTGTTTTTCCTGCTAAATCCTGCATAGAAGATATGGCAGATAAAACTGTCAATATAGTTTGAGGCAAATCTCCACGCCTTTGCTTCTCGCCCACCCCTCTCAACCCTCCCATTCCCTCAGTTTTTGCATCCTTGACTCCAGTCTTATCCTTTTTCTCGCCGTTCTTTCACTTTTTATATGTCTAAGAGCTGAAGACCTTCGTCCATCCGTTAAATTTGAAGCAGAAAATTATCTCCGTACAATGAACTCCTTTAAATTTTACAAAGTTTTTTCCTCCTCACAGTTTCTTCAAAAATCCTCCTTCTGCGTTAAATCTCACCTCCTGTGCCATGCCATATCCGTTTATAAACCTATTATTGGGAGAAGGACAGTTATCATTTAATCTGAATATGAGAATTAAATGCATAACTTCACTTCTTCCAATTTTAGGGCATTTTCTTCCAATCGGCTTCCTTCCCAATCCTTTCTTATATTACTACTGCTCTTTTCCACTTCCGGTTTTTCTATAACAGTCTTTTAATTGAGCATTTTGACCAGCTCTTGTTTCATCATTGCGTTTCTTCTCGCCACTAATGTAGTAGCTGGCAACTTTTCCATTCTTTTTCTATTTTACGCCCATCTCATCCGCATAGCTATGTCATCTATAGGTTGATCCAGGGCGGCTTCCTGGGGGAGGGGGTCGACGAGTGGAGAGAAAGGAAATGGGGCTCCTAGAGGTGACGGCGACCGAAGAGGCAGGGGAGGGAGGAGGGGAGAGTTTTCTTCAGTTTGTGCTTTAAACCCGGACTTTTGTACCGAAGGGTTGGGGGGCAGTTTTATTCAGTTTAAGCTTTAAACCCGGACTTTTTAAGCTTTAAACCCGGACTTTTGTAGCACTAAGTAACTTTGCCGCTGGGTATACGGATGGGGACGAAAAAACCTATCTCCCTTAATCCCACGGATCCCCCTATGATGCATGTTGCCTTTCAAGCGAATCCGTCTAGAACAGTGATAGCCCCGTGTCTTTTATCGTTGTTTGTTTTTTTTTTCTCCTCAGTAATTCGTTTTATCTATCCCTTATATCTCTCATCCTTGACAGATGACAAGGCCAACTCTGCTCCATGGCCTTGATAACATCGCTCACACCGAAGCGAAAAAGTACTTCACTGGAGTGCAATGCAACAAGAGAATATCTACTTACATGTTTCAAAGGTATGTTTTACTGAAATTTAAGAAAAATAACCTTAAATTGTAATTAAACTGCCAAACAGGAATGTTTGGGCCACCAAAGTCATGTACCTCCCTGCTGAGCACCAAAACTGGACCTCGTCAATACGACAGTTGTGGTCTCAAATTATTTTTAACAAGATATTTGTCAAATCTCCAAGTATCATATTTAGTTAATGAAATGAGGGGAGAAAAAAGAATTCAGTAAGCAGAAGTATATGTCGTTATGTCACCATAAGCGGATCCAGGGCGGTCTCTTAAGTGGGGGGGGGGCATTTTTTACCTTCCCTTCTCTCTTCCTCACTGCACCCCTCCCCCCGCCCCAGTCAGCTTTCAGCCCACCCTTCTTCAATCGTCACGCTAATTCCACCTCTTCCCTCCAAGGTCTCACTACATCATCCCCCTCCCTCTTCCCCCACCCCCCTCCCACCACCAGCGGTGCAAAACTGAGACTGACAAGGAGGACGACAGGGAGTACCAACCAGACTTTTTGTACAGTAAAACAACTGCTACCTGAGCCCTTGGGGGGACGAAAGGCCCCACCCTCCACCTCCTGGATCCGCCAATTTATATCACTCTTTTTCATTGCTAGCTTTTTCTCCCCAACAATAATGGTACTCCGCTATGGTAAAAGTTGCAAGAAAGCTAGCTTCATCGTAGTTTTGCTGATTTCCCTCGAAATAACCAATTTTGTTTTTGAAATTTTTTAAAGACGCATTTTGAATCAGTCATTTTTTGAAGAGTTCAACATCGCCAAACTGTTTTTACTACCCACTCAGATAAATTTAAATGAATTTGAAGTCCCTTTGATTAATCTTTACTTGCTTGTCTCAAGCTGTTACATTAATTCTTGAAATGTGGTTAAATTTGGTTCTTTTCAACGACAAAACCAAAGGCACGCTTTTCTTACGCTATCCGAACTATAGTGCTTAAATAAGTCGAAAATTGAAGGATAACTCAATAACTTAATTTTTAGTTACATGTACTTTTATTCTCGATTTTGCTCCCTTCATTTCGATTCCTCATTTCTCTTTCCGGCTCCTTGTTAGCTTTCATAATTTCCTCGTAAAGATCTAGAATAGACTCTTATTCTGTTCAGTAAGTTAGGGCTAAATTTGAGTTGTTTGGTCTTTGCATAGGCGGAAAACATTCTCCTGAAATTTCACTAAGTGGCAGTATTTTTTCAAATCCTAGACATGGTTTTTCTCGAATTTACCTTATTTCCCTCCTTCAGACTCTATAGTAGTTCAAGCCAAGTTCCCCTCACTTTCAACCTTCCCTCCGGCATCTTTTGCTGCCCCATTTTTTTCAGTTCAGCTTCCAACCGCTTGTCTTCTTTTGTCAACACTTCAAATCCAAGCTTGTTTCGGAGAAGCTTCCTTACTCGACAAATGCAAAAGTGAGAGTAAATTTGTCGTGTAGGGAGGCTTCTTCGATTCTAGGCTTCTACTTGCCCCTCCTCAACTTCGAACTCTCGCCCGTTCTCCTCTTGTTTTCGCTTTTGCCAACCCGGTTACTTTGAAAATTCTTTTTCTTTCAGCAAATTTTGAATTTGACAAGGAAGCAGGGGCTTTCACAGATTCTGAACATCATCCTCTGCTCCGCCCCGGCAACAAACTTCATCTCCTACTTTTCCTCTCCAGCCGTTTCTACCGGTCTAGTTTTAGGAAGAGCTTCTTGATCCAGTAAATCTGCACCGATGAATTCACCGGGTCCCGAAGCTCTTCCAAATTCTAGACAATTTTTTTCACAGCTGCGTTCTCGGACTACCTTCACTTACTGGTCACTTCACCTTCACGTAAAATTCCTCAGTGAAGAGAGCGTTCAGATATTTGTTCAACCTAAAGCTGGGAGTTTGTCAGACGGAAAGTCATCTTGGAATTTTAACTTTTTTCTTCCGACCTTCCCGTCGATGTCTTTTTCCAGCCCTTCTTGTGATGGTATGCCTAGCTTCTGGCCAAATCTTGACAAGCTGAGATGGCGCCTGTTCAAAACTGGAGCCATTGCTCTTAACAAATTATCGCTTAATACAGAGACATTCCGGATAGAAGCCCTGTGGTTGTGTTGTTACCGGCATTCTTACACCCTTCGGACATACCTTCACATATTATCCAGTTACTTAGTCAGAAAATCTAAGTCCCCTTGGTGTTAGTTTTTTGTGAGAGCTGGAAAAACTGGGGAAGTAGCCCGAGGTGTGGTAGCAAATGCCAGCAGCAACCAGCTTTTAGTAGGGAAGTTTACCATCGAAACAAGTTAAGAAACTGGCTTTACCGAAGAATTGGCTTTCCTCAATAACTAATCGTTAGCAAACTTTAATTGGTTTTTACGTCTTCCTGATTCAATATTACGCCCTGGTTGCTGTGTTTTCTAATTCTTTTGTGAACTTTATTCTTTGACAAAGTATTGCATTTCGCCGACAAAATATAGTTGTATTGTTACTGAAACAGTAGAATGGAAGGACTGGTCTTGAGTACCGTGTGCCGAAGGACATTTTGCGATGTAGGGAAGCATAGTACAAAGCAAAGTACTTCTTGCATATAACTAGGTAGTTGTTTGGAGCCTTGTCAGCAGACTTTATGATAAAATTTCTTTGTGTCTCACGTAAGGCTGTATCAAAATCAATAATGATTTGAGGATGAGGAGAGGAGCAGTTAGCGGTTCGCCACCGTGTCACAGCTAATATCCTATGTTTGAAGTTGTCTAATCGAGGTACCAGAACGACTTGCCATAACAGAGAAGAAAGTGTCTAAAGCGTTAGAGATATCAGCTATAATTTAGTCCGCAGTTTTAATAATAGTAGGTCTGAATTTCGTACCCTTCTTCATCATGCCCCTTAGTTGCCGATTGCGGATAATGTTTAAGTTACCTGCTACAATGTGTCCGGCAGGTTCGTAGAAAAAAGCTGAGCGTACACATTGGCAAGGTGAAGACAGTAGGTTGGCAAGATCCGTTAGTCTGTCACTGAGACGTCTAAGAAGGGTGGCACAGTTCATGATGCGGTAGCTTATAGGATTTCGATATTTGAAAATGACAGTGATACGAGGGTAAGGAATAGTGAAATAGAAAATGTCGCCACGATGTCCACACGCGGAAGAGGTTTTCGGACGGAAAAGTTGCTGAATTCGTTTGATTTGTCATTACTTGAGTGAAATTTACAATGTTAAGCCAGTTCGTTTTTGCATTTTGCTTTTTTTTTTTATTTTTTGATTTTTGTTTTCAGCAATTTGATTTTCCTTCCTACCGCTTTTTTCAGCTCATTTACCCAAAAAAATAAATATCCCCCTCTAATTCAGTCTCCATGAAAAACGAGTAGCTCAACCCTGCGTCGAATTTTGCCTTTTTTTATCTCTCGCCACCTTGCCTGTCTAAGATTGGGAAGGGCATCCTTTATTCAGTGAATCTGCACTGGGGAATTCACTGGTTTAAGATGCTCTTCCAAATTTTAGACTATTCTTCTACAACTGCTTTGGGAGCTCGCCGGATTAAGAGACATCTTAAGACTCGCGCGACTTTTTCCTTCCAACTTATGGTGGAACAACAGCGCCAAACAAACTGCATATGTTACCACACAGAAGATTTTAGGCCCATGTCTTCTTCCAGTCTCCTAGCTAGGAATATTCGTTGTTTGTATCTTTAAAATTTCTGCAACACTTACTGAACAAAGATGTGTTACTGGCTTATTTAAAGAGGCTTACGGTTCAATTATTCTTTTTTCAAAGCAGATTGTGGGCCAGTGGATTCCTCCGCCAAGTGCCACTCAGGATCGCGGTACCAACCTTCACGCGCGTCCGGGCTTCGCGTACAAGAGGGTGAAATTTTTGGCGGAAAAATGCTTAACTCAGGAATCAGAAAAGCCGGGGGGCTGAAATTTTAAGAGGATATACCCTGCCCCCGTCCAAATTGAAGATATCAAATTCAGCCCCTAGGCGTGCGTAGTTCTCACGTAGAGAGTCAGAAATTTCCTGGCGACCAGAAAAGTTGGAAGGCTGAAATTTTGAGGAATGTTCCCTGTCCAAGTGCCACGTAGTCGCACAATGAATTTCGAGGGCCAGTATGTCACAAATACTAGCTACTGGATTTCCGAGTGACCTTACTACAGCACGAAATACTGCAAAAATACATGTTCGCATGGGTCCGCCTGATGCGCGTCGCCAGAGATTTATTACTTCTTACATGGCAACTGGCTTGTGCCTGGGCAAAAAAGCCGGCGGTATTCTTTTGCTTCCTTTTCGTACACTGTACTTTTCCAATTTGCGATCGGTTTAGGGTGCTCTCAACGTGGGAAAAACTGAAGGCAAAAGAGCGCCTGACAACTTTGTCAACCACTTTCAAGGACTCGGTTTCTCGAGTATTTCAAAGTAGTGAACAACCTCTCTTTTCAGACGTGTGTTCGTGCAGGCTTTTCTATGTCTTGTTCTTTTACTCCTGTCCAATTCTGTTCGCCCCTCTGGGCTCATTTTTGCGATGTAAGTAGATAAACCTCATACTCGTGGTGACTCTTTTGCCTGCTAAATCCAGGAATCCAGGAAGATTGAGCAGTTAAAAGTGTCATCATAATTTGAGGTACATCTCTACGCCTTTTGCTCCCATCGAGCCTTTTTCTCGGCATTTGCACCCTCACCGACCCCGTCAGTTCTGTGTTTTCAATCCCATTGGTTTTCGTATCGTTTCTGTACACTTTTCTAAGATTTCTCGAAGATTTGAAGTTAAAGGTTTTCTAAGATTTATCTTTTCTAAGATTTGTCCAGTGAGACTGAAGTCGAAGATTATATGCGTATAATGAACTTTTGTTTTTTAAAGTGCTCTAAAGCTTATTCAAAAGTCCTCCTTTTCTCTTAAATTTTGCCTTGCACCTTACCATCTTCGCGTAGAGATTCAAAATTTAGTAAAAAAATTTTTTTTGTGCCGTAAATCTGCAAATTTGGAATTACTGAGCAACAGTACTTTTTCAGATTTCCGATACAGTTTTCCTTGCTTCCACCTTCTTCCCCGAACAACACCACTTTAAATTTCCTATCTTATTTCGCCTTTCAGCTCCTTATCTTCTTTGGCCGAAATTTCAGGTGTAAGCTAGTTTCGGAAAAGCCTCTTTTGCATGATAAATGTGAAACTGTGAATGAATTTATCATACAGAGAGGTTTCTTCGATCCTAGGCACTCACTCATTCGGCCTTGCGTTAAATTTCCTTTCCTTTTTTTTCTGTTCCGTCTTCTGCCAAATCTGGAATTTGGAAAAGCCTCTTTGCGCATGAATTTGAATTTGAAAATCCGCAGACAGGGAAGCTTTCTAAAATTTCTCACATTTCCTATTCGATTCTCGCTCCAAAAATTCGCCTTTCTTTTTTCTTCCCTGCTACATTTGCCAGTCTGCAGTTGGAAAGAGTTTCTTTATCTGGTGAATCTGCACCGAGGAATTCACCAGGTCAAGACACTCTTCCAAATTCCAGACAACTTCTCCATAATTGTGTTCTCAGACTTCCTGTACTTCCTGGTTACTTCATGGTCATGTCAAATGCAAAATTTGAAAAGAATTTACTTGCTCAGTCAATCTGAATTTAAGATTTCTCAGGATGAAAAGACTTTTCGACGCCTTTGGCCAGCCCTTTCGACAGCAGCCTTTGTAAGGACACTTGCTTCCAGCTTTTATTTTACTGGTGTTTTTAGATTCTGACCAATCTTGGCAAGCTGAGGTGGCACACGATGTTAAAAATAACGTCAGTCGTAACTGGAATCATTAGGTTTTTTTTAGAGCTGTTCATTTTTTCAGAGAATTTTCAGAGAGCTAAGACTGCCCGGATAATGGATACAGAGATCCCATGCTAATGTTTCTACTGTGATGTTTAGGCACGCTGGGCTTCCGATCCTGAGCTATTTACCTTCAGGCAAAAAACCAAGCACAAACCTCCTTTGTATTCGTTCTCTATAAAAGACGAAAACGATCGAGATGTAACCCAAGTGGGATGATAAATATGCTCAAGTTCGTGGGAAAAGTGATGAAGCGAGCGATGAAGATGAAAACGATGACGATACAAGTGTACCAAGAAAACTTGATAAGACTGCCAGTAGTGAAGCTGGTGAAAAGATTAGCGAAAAAGATGGTGAAAAATCAGATAAATCAGCTGAAAAACAACCTGCAAAATCGGTGGTCAAGGATTTCACTGCAAAGGTCAAAGGCAATATTTCCTCACTGACCAGAACGAAAAGCCGCAAGAATAAGAATAAAAACGTAATTATAAGCGATGAAGTGGCAGATGATCAGTCCAAAGACGGTGACAAGGCCGCAAATGACAAAGCCGCAGACGATATTAAGGTAGCAGAGGATGAAACCTTGAACGGCAAAATCCCAGCCGATATGGCCAAAAACACTGAGATCGCAAGCGATACGATCACAGACGACCAAGTCGCAAATGATAAGATCACAGTCGATGAAGCTGCAGGCGACTGAATCGCAACAGCTACGATCTACACCTCCGCTGAAGCTTCAGTTCTCCTCCTGTTACAGAAACTGATGTTGCTTTTCATAGCTGATGTTAATCACTAAATCGTTGTTCAATAATAATGGTGTAATTACAAATAGAGATAAAAAAATCAGGGAAGAGGAACGGGTAATTGCGTATGACTACAATTCAGTGAAAGGTGACCGAGTGACCTTGGGGCACTCTTTGCAAAAAGTCTGGATGTTTCAAAGTCAGAATGTATAATAATTCAAAATGAACGGCAACTCACCGACTGCTGGTGCGAAGATACGTTTTTTGCATAGTTTCCCTCAGATTTTTGTCGCTAACGGCAGCAGTTTTTCCGGCAAATGCTATTGGCTAAGATAATTGAGAGTAGCCATCATGGCTGCCTGAAAACATCTCTTTAAAATTTCAGCTTTCTAGGTTTCCTGGTTTCCGAATTAGCAACTTACCCGCAAAAACCTTTCACTGACCCGTAAGTGGGAATCACACATACCCGGGGACTGCGGCTTGAGCTCATTCCTGCTTAAACGGGGAACATCCTTTTAAAGTTCCAGTCTTCTAGCTTTTCAGGTTCCCCAGTTAGCAAGCTACCCGAAAAAAAAGTTTCACGAGCCTGTGCATGGGAAACGCGTATACCCGGAGACTGGGTTTAAGCTCATTAATAGTTACATGGATGTGGAGCCTCTTAAAATTTTAGCTTTCTAGCTTTTCTGGTTCCCGAGCTAGCAGCTCCTCTGCCCAAAATTTTGGCGGGCCAGTGCGTGGGCATCACGAGAGTAAGAGCGCCTATTTTGGGGATTGGGGCCCGTACGTGGATTTTGGTTAACTTCCCAAAATTTCAGCCCTGTAGCTTTAGTAGGTCTTGAAACAAACCCAGGCTGGAAAGCGCCAGGGGGGCCGGTGCGATTATGCGTTTTTGCACTTTTCGTACCATAGCAAGATCGCAAGGAATCAAAGTAGCTAACCCTGTGAAATACTGGCCCTCGAAGTTCGGGAAGTAATTGTGCAGCCGATGTGGTATTTCAGTTGTAGGTTCGACTTCAGTGACCCGACAAATTGAAAGTTGCTGGTCCGCAAATCAGTTGTAGGTGTCGACTTCAGTGACCCGACAAATGGAAAGTTGCTGGCCCGCAAAAAAAGGCCACGCTAGATTTGTAGGTGTCGACTTCAGTGGCCCGACAAATGGAAAGTTGCTGGTCCGCAAAAAAGGCCACACTAAAAGAGTTAAGTTTAAAATCTT